GTTTTTCACTCTTTTGCAAATAGAACTACGATTATAGCTACAACTATGACAATAGTTAAACGACATCCAGTAGATTCAAGTTCAAGAGAAAATTAACACCGATAGCCATGCAATCATGCATCATTCTTCAGAAACTTTATCTTGTTACCCGGAAAGCTTAAACCGAATACATTTAAACTGGTTGCATTACATTGACACTTAAAAATGAGGTCATCTACAACGATTGCTCGTCATCCCTTTTCCTGTCTTCTCATGCCTATGAGGGTTACCCAATTCAACTAACAAGACGTGCGTCTGAATTGAAATATACTTTAACGAGGTAGTACAATTGTCCAATTCTGCCATTCAAAAAGACGCTGATCAACCTCTGTTAAAGCCGTTTATAAAATCTAACGCTTAACTGCTCGTACTGTAAACGACTCTGGAACAAAGGTGAGGTTTAGGATTCCCTTCAGTTCTGGTTTAGACGCCCCCGGCGGTGGCTTAAATGTGAACCGCTGGAAGAGGTTAGTAGCGAAGAGGAACAGTTCCGTCTTGGCCAGCCCTTCACCCAGACAACTCCGACGACCTGGTTAAAGCGAAGGGAATCCGAAAAGAAACATGTCTGTTCGGGAAATCAACACAGTAGCTTCGCTCGGGCGCTGGGGAGGGAAATGCACTTTGCAATTTTTGTAGAGGAAATGCGCCCTCACAGCTGAGGCGCAGTAAATTGTGGGTTATTCGCTGTCCAATGTACATGTATGTATTTCCGATGCACAGCGTTGTTGCATGAGTGAGTGCTTAACAAAAATACATTTGCCCTGAAGTTTCCGATCGCCTTAAAACTTATTAGGGTGGTCAGTGGCGAGCGAACAAGGACTTGTGGAGCTATGTTTAAAAAGATAATTACGACATGAGTGGCTCCATTGTTGGAACCAAAATGGTGGATTACGCGTCAAGCATTGTGGACCACAAGCACAACATAGCTGCACGCTGTACTGCAAACATAAAGAAAAGCCGGTTTGGTTCCGAAGACTGAAGTTGGCGCTACCCCCTCTATTCGCGCAGCTCTGCAGTTCTGGCAAGTCACAGTGGAGAGCACCACCAACTGTTTAACTTTAAAAGGCTGCTTTTCTATATTTAGACTGTAGAATGAAATTCTTTGTGCAGTTCCTAATTCAATTCCCATTATTTACACTTTTACCAGATAATTGCTCCCCGGTATAAGTGTCTGGGGGACACATTCACCTGGGTGAATCTGTCAACCTCCTGTCCAATGGTAAATTTGTACATTTGGTTTAAAAAACAACTAAATGTGTTATATACGGACTGAATTCATCAAACTAACACGAAAATGTTTTCTGCTTGACAGAATGAGGGGGCAAAATTACCTGAGTGGTTTATAATTTGAAAGGGGGCAGATTCACCACGCTGGGGGACACTTAAATGATACCTAGATAATTCTATCACCTGATATCGAGGTATAATTTTATGAGGGACCTGGACAGTTTCCGGGGTGGGGGGGGGGTTGTAGACTTACCGTCTACAATGGCAGTGTCAAATGAAACTAATGCATATTTGGAGGGGACAAAAGTTTTAGCGTACCTGTTGAGAATGGTATGAAGGCTTCGTGCTGAATCATTTTCTTGCCGTCTTTGCTCAGGAAACGTCCAGGATTGAACTCCTCTGGTCGATCCCAAACCTTGGGGTCGTTCATCATCGCCCACAGATTTATAATCACTTCTATTAGAATTCAATAATCAGTCATCAATTTTAGTTTATTTGATCAGTGTTAACTATAGAATGGGATTTGGTGGCTTGTATGTACTTATTGTTAATCTCCCAGAGTTTAATCGTGACTATAATATAACAATAGGTACATATAACAACGGACATAAGTTAACAATCTTACTTATTCCCTTGGGAATAGTGTGTCCTTTCAGCTGAAACTCTTGTGTTGTCGCGTACGGCAAAGTAAAGGGTGCCACGGGACGTACGCGCTGGACTTCACTGATGACCGCGTTGGTGTAGGGCATGCTGGGGCGGTCCTCGCAAGATGGCTGACGGTCACTTCCCACCACTTCATTAATCTCTTGCTGGATCTGCATGTCACAGTTATTGATTGGGTAATGAGGCCAAGCCATTATAACTTTATGCTTTTATATCAGTTACCGTACTTTCCTATAGAACAAGAGACCCAAGTTTGAATCCCGCCGTACAGGTGTGTTTGCCGCATATTGGAACAGTATGCAAAACTCACACAGAGCGACATTACTGGGATAAATCCTTCCTTCATTTTGATATAATTCATACAAACTGATCGCTCAAATTTTCAGAAATGATAATCTTTTGCAAACTAATTCTCTAGCCTAAAGGAATTTGTAAAGAACTTGAGGTTTTTTTCGACATTGTAGGAGAGCCTATTGTTTTGGTCCAAACAATACTGCTCTGAGAGCACTACGATACGGTGCCTTTCCACCGTGCACGTCAACACTTGCGGCAAGCGTTGAGTATCCCTCAGAATCGCTCCCGCGGCAAACACAACGCACACGTATTTTTTTAAATGGAGTTGATGTTGTGTCCGTGAAAGCGAAACGCATGAACGTATCGTGTACCCAACGCACCCAAACAACGTACATAATGAATCGGCGACTTTGTATGTAAACTTTGAACTGTGAACATGTATATACCGACTGCCCTACATTACGACTCTGCAAGACACAAGTAATGATAAAATTTATATCACAAAAAGGGGCAAAATATATTGGTTACATGTTAAATATCTGTACGAATGTTACACAGTACGTGTACTTTACCTTCTCTTGTACTTCGGGGTACTTGAGGACGATGGATATCAGCCACAGCAAGGTATTTGAAGTTGTGTCCGTACCAGCGCCAAACAAGTCCATGATACCCCGCCAGATGTGTTGGTGGGTGATGGTCGGAGCAGGCCCCGTGCCCACCCTAGATCCGATCTGCTCTTTTCCTTTGATGTCATCGATAAGTATGTCAATGATATCCCGGAAATCATTCTCGTCATAGGAGTCTTGATGATCCTGAATCGATTTGATGAGATAAATCATTTCGTTTTTAAACGCCTCAGTTTCCAGTTGGATGTAAGGGAAACCTTATCACCAGAAGTAGAGAGATCCAGTATCAGATTCGAGGGAAATATATACACGTAGTATTGTATGATTTTCCTTTTTCCTCTAGAAGCATTTTAAAAGTCCTGCAATTTAGTCTCAGCAATTCATCAGAAATTCTAAACAGGTTAAGGGGAACTCTTACTGTATGTTGCCCCCCTTATAAAAATAACCTGTTGTTGAGGTGCATATCAGATGATAAGTACTTACCTGAACTACAGTTTGGATATATTCTTTGACAAATCTGACACATTCTCTCAATTTTGCCAAAAAAGGAGTGTGGTAGAGAAAGGGAAACGTCCTTCCCCATGAAGACAGTCCATCGTTCTCAAAAACAACTCGCATACTGTCCAGTAACTTCTTGAATTTGGGGTCATCGTAATCGAAGCGGGACCCAAAACTTATGGAGCAGATGATGTTGGACACGGCTTTGTGGATAAGGAGGTTCGGATCAAAGGGCCGATTCTTTTCGGCCTCGATACGTTCGACAAGGTATCGAGCCTCTTCGTTGATTCTGTGCTCCAGACTTTTCTTGCCGACTCCCATTTTTCGAAAGGCGCCGAGGCCGAAACGCCTCGATTCTTTGGCAGTCTCGCCCTTGCTCCATAAAAAGCTCCCTGTTTCGAAAACAAAATGAGTCAGCTACAATTAAAATGTGTAAATTCAAAGCCTTTTTGCGTGATCAAAACGCCTGACTTCTTTTGCAATCTCGCCCTTGTTCCACGCAAAGCTTCCTGTTTTGAAAGAAAAAAATTGATAATTGGTGAATTTGAAACCTCCTTCAGAAAATGAAATATTAGGGCATCAAGATGTGACGACACTTTACGTGTTCACTGGTGCCCATCTTCTTCAGAAATGGGGGCTCAGGAAAACAAGCCTTCGCCTTTTTACACTCCTTCCCTCAGCCAAATAAAATTCGGCCCCCGTCTCACTAGTACTTGGTATTAAGTCTAGGCCAAGCCTTGTCCTCGTTAAGTCCCTACCTTGTATGTCTTCAATTTTTGACGTAAGCGGAGTCCAGGACCTCTCAACGTGGTGCTCCCCCTGTTTTGACAGCAACTCCTTGGCGATGCTACTGTCGCTCACGACAATGGCAGGATCCCCTGCCGGACGCAGACCGACCGACGTGACGCTTCCATACTGCTGGGCCCACTCCGCCAACACCTCGTGGATGTGTTTCCCTGACCGAGTCAGTGCCACGAAGTTCCCGAGGAAAGGCCACCGCCAGGGCCCCGGGGGAAGGTTCTTTGGACGTCGGAATAGCTTGAAGACCACGACGAAAATCAACAGGAAGATGGCTGCAGATTGGAGATTGAGCGCGGTACGGGCAAAGGAGAGGAAACTCAGGGCAGAATTTTGATTAGCCATATTTAACTTCAGCAGTGCGAGTCTGTATGGGGAGTGCTGGGACTGTGCAATTGGCCCGCTTATTTATACCATGTTCCCAGCTCTATGTTTACACCATTCACATACTTCAGACGAAAAGCCGGCAGTTTATCTTCTTATCGCAAAGTTTATGGCAAGAGACTGTATGCACAAAAAAATACTACCCGAGTGGGTGAAAGGTTCTGCTGTGCTGAGTGCGTCTCTTGGGTGAAACTTTTTCGTCACACCTGACAATAATTATAAGCATGTTCCCCTTTGTTGTGGATTCCCTGTTGGACATACAACGTCATTACCTATACCTAGAAATGTGGGTTTGAAACTGCAACATCTATCTGGTCGGTTTCCCTGAGAATTTCAAAACTGAATAGTTACAAAAAGATAACTTGAAACAAAGAATATTATAAATAGGTAAAACGGCATGAAAAGAATGTAAAAATATCAAGTGGAATACGGACGAATTACAATAGTGCGCCTCCAAGAGTTTGCAACGCGTTGGCACAAGACCAACACAAGACCTCCAGTCACCTCCAGTCTGCATTCAAGCTACAAGCTATTCAAATGCACTGCAACAAAAGCATTCTTTTGTCATTGATCTCTCGGCTGTGACTGGTCTCGTGCATGGTCTTGGGTCTGGTCTTTTGATGGTCTTCACTTCAACACTGTTGAAGGGGAGAGGACGTACAGTGAGAGAAAATACAATCTAGGTTGGATTTCCATTTTCTTTCTTTATTTATTTAAATTACCAACAGCGTTGCCCGCCAATCGCAGGGATTTTTTAATAATGTAGGATCATGAATATTTATTAGCATCTTTAGACGCGCACGCGCCGTCTCTCTCGCTCCTAATTTTGGAAGGCATGGACGCGCGAGCGCCAGTCAGCCACAGTTCTGCACATTTTTGTTTGATTTTAGCCTTGTCAGAGGGAAGTTATTCTGCCGTGCGTTGGCTCATCCTTGTTTTCAAGGAGTGTTAAGTAAGTTAGTATTCCTTTTATAATCATTTCATAATTATTTTCATATGAAACCGGGGAGCTTTTCTTTGCCTTAAGTTGCTCATGACTCCTTCAGTTATCCACGTGTTTCTTGTGTAGTGTGTACTTGTACATTTGTATATCGCTCACGCGCGCATGCAGTGACACCACACAGTGTACTTGTACGCTGCGGGTAATTCGTAACTTTCCGTGACCTCTGACCGGGTTGCTCGCGGTCGATCTTGGAACGCATCGCGTATGTATCAGAATTTACTGCCTATCGTGAAGGAGCGTAAAACCTTTCACTGTTACCATGATTGTGCACACCTCTGCAAATATACTGGCATTTAAATGAACTCATGGGCTGGTAGTTTTTTGTATTCATTTGATATTTTCACTAAATTACATGTTGTCATCTTGGGTAATTGTAATGGTGCATTACAGAGAGAACATATACATGTTACCTTCCACTAGTCTTGTGAAGACAAGGTGCTGGGTGAGTTCCATGAACCTACATGTACTGTACATGTACATGTACATTGTCACCCATTGAAGTTATATTTTAATACTTACATTTTATTTTGTGACAATTATATCGATTGTGATAAATTGTGTTTTTAAAAACATTTCTGTTCGGGATTTTTCCTGCTGGGATTTTTCTTTGCTGGGGCTTTTCTTGACGAATTAAAGAGATCGTATCCTCAAAACAATTAAAGCTTGTGTCTGTTTCTGAGACCGGGTCTTGCGTACCAGAGGATCGCACCTCACCCAACGTGGGCTCAGGCTCAATTACCCCGAACCGACACGCGTTGCTTCACTTCATATAAATACTAAAAGATACATTAAATTACATTAAAAAAAACCAAAGTACAACTACACATGTAAAACTTAAAACAAATACAAAATATAACACACACGCACAAGCCAGGGACGAGATACAAGAAGGCCACTGGTAAGAAAGGAAAATAAGGGTAAATGAGAGACTAGAGCCCCAATGAAGGACCGCAAGCTTAAATACTGTCCAATGAAAGCCAAACAAATTTAGTCATGACCATTGCTCTTACATGGAACGTTGGGTACGAGGAAACAATCTTACTTCTTCCCTTGGGAATAGTGTAGCTGTTCAGCTGAAACTCTTGTGTTGTCTCATACGGCAGAGCAGTGGCCGCCACGGGACGTATGCGCTGGACTTCACTGATGACCGCGTTGGTGTAGGGCATGCTGGGACGGTCTTCGCAAGAAGGCTGACGGTCACTTGCCACCACTTCACTGATCTCCAACTGGATCTGCGTGCCACATTAGGCAACGAGGTAAGGCATGATGAGTTTATGCTGTAAAGGCCCAAAAAGGTTCCCTCCTGTTATGTACCCATACGGAACGAGTAACCCATTGAGTAAATCATTCACAACGACAGTGCCAAAATGGTTATGGCAAAAATACCGTATGAAGTCATGTCATTGCACTTTGATATAAATTAATTACTTAAATTAAGCGTTCTCACCTTTGGCCCATATAAAGCTCCCTGGTTTGAACAAAAATCACGTAGCTTCAAATGATAAATAAGAAACCTTCTTGAATTATTTATGAGCGGTCCAAAAGCTGCTGAGCAAATTTTCACCGTCCCGATAGACTCCATTACAAGTCGGTACGTAGTTCCCTACAATTTTACAGCTGATCGACTGAATTGACCTTTCTAAAAAGTCGCCACAATGAAGTCAAAGCGAGTTTGACCTTTTATTTTGGAATTTAGAGCAAAATAAAACATAAATATTTTAAACTAATTTAGTTATCAATGACGAATAAGTCGATATTTGTGATTTATTTTATCTAAATTATTGTTTCAGCAACATAAAAACGAAAGTAAGGCATGGAACCCAAGCTAGTCTGGTGCCTCCCTTTTCAACAGATTACACTGAATAAGATAGATTCATTGAACGTACCCTCCAAAGTGTCGTACTTCTATTAGTATCAGTGGGGATATACTTGCAGGTGCAATCTTGGGTTCAATACCTGTATGAGCGCGCTTTTGTCTCTGCTTAGAATTTTCACAACTTCGTGGTTTGATATCATGACAATACTGCAGGTGTCCATCTTCTCAAATAATTTATCCTCAGAAAAACAAACCTTCCCCTGTTAACTTCCTTACTTCAACCTGGGTTAAATGGGACCCCAGCCTCACTAGATTGCTTGGCATCACTAGGCGAAGTCTTGTCCTCGTGTAATCTCTGTAGACCCTACCTCGTAAGTCTGAAAGTTTTGGCGTGATAGGAATCCAGGTTCTGTCAACGTGGCGCTCTCCCTGTTTCAACAATATCTCCTTGCCGCTGTCAATGTCGCTCACCACGATGGCAGGAGCCTGTACCGGAAGCAGGCCGACCGACATAACACCGCCGTACCGCCTGGCCCACTCCGCCAGCACTTCGTGGGCATGTTTCCCAGACCGAATCAGAGCTACGATGTTCCCGACGACAGGCCATCAAACGAGGAATCACGCACGTGCATAAATTATATGAGTGTGACCATACACAGAGCATGAATTATATAGATGCTCAAGAAGGTGTCTCTAGCACAAAGCTCAGTTAACATCGGCCCAAGTGATAGAACAATGGTGCATCAAAGGTTACAACTTGCTGCTTGTGCTAATGTGACGTATTAGGGTCTAGAGTCACGGCAACGGTGCAATACGGTGATTTTGTCTCGAAACGACAGTTTAAATAATTCTCAGTCACTTGAGAAAAATCCTCGACCACGCCCAGGCGGCTGTAGGCCTTACTGTTTCCAAACTGAGTGACGGTAACATTCATTGTGTGGGAGCCCCCTCCCTTAGATTAATTAATTAGGTAAAACTTTTGTACTATTTTGAATGAAGTATCTTAAAACCTCCTTTATGCTCAAAGAAAGTTTCGAATACCAATTTGTTACATCCGCCGGCAAACTAGCTTAACCCATCCCATTTCATGAGTGAATTATGCCCTAGATACGTTAATAAATTCGACTGAATTAGCAAATATTGAAAGCAAATCTGGAAACTGAAACTAAGAATTTATTTACTGGATAGTTCATTTATATACTTGGTGATAAGGCAGAAGAAAAGCGATTCTGTTAGCAATGGGCTCCGAGCTGGACCAAGAGAGGGCTCGATTTTTCCAGCAACGGACGCTCCTTTGATAGCAACTTCACTTCGCTGGTTCCCAGGGGCCTATGAGATACATGCGTTGCGTGTACGTCACTATATCAACAAAATGAACGCTTAACGCCAGCATGGCTCATTTCAAGCGATAAGGGGGAACTTCTGCTCATGGTGGGCATCGAAGTCCTTTCATTTCATGTTTTATTTTTAAACGTAGTGGACACTATTTGTTTTTGTCGTTATTTCACAAGATTGGTTGATTACGGCGTAGAAATGATTACTGCAACCAACTTACATTCCATTGACTTGTTTTATGTTTGAGTCAACTGCTTTGTGAAAAAAACGAGGAAAACAGCGCTTAAATCGAAGATCTTATCTTAGGTAAATCTTCGAATTACAAGGCGTTCGTAGTAAGTGAACAACATCCCCAGGGCGGGAAACGGGCAAGACAGGTTCTCGTTTCCTCAAAAAGTGCAAGTGAAGATCTCACAGCTCACACTAAAACCATATTAATGATCTCATCAAATTTTTTCCACTTTATATTAAATTACTATCAGCCATATTTTTGCTAATCAAGGTTGGCGTAAAAAAGGCGCTTATGACGTAGCAAAGAAGAGTCGACACGAGAGTCGACAAGTTCGTGAACTGGATAAACAGAAATGCTTCAGCTTTATACTATGTACAGATAAAACCACCAGAGATGCTTATTACATGAGGAATATTAACTTTGAGCCAGTAGTACTAATTTCGATGACGTTTATTTATTTCGTTAAAATACGTTAAATGTTAAGAGCCTTCTGTGTGATTTTTTCATCCATCTCCTGGACATCGACGGACGGATGCAGGAATTTTTCCTAGGGGGGAGGTCAGGCCGGGAATGTTTGATTTTTTTAATTTTTTATATTTATCTCTTTTGAGGGGTCAAGCATAAACAATGGTGAAACATTACATGACAGGAATTCTTTACAATGGGATTGGCGCTTTGTTAGTTGTAATATGGCAATACTCCAGACTGATCTTATGGTCCACTTCTGTCATTTTAGAGAATTTCAACCTCTAAGGGTATAAAGCCCTTTATCAGATCTAGCGTTTAACTGCACATACTGTTAACATATCGGGATCAAAGGTGAAACGACAAATCCCCTTCAATGCTGGTGGAGGCGCCCCCGGCGGTAGCTTAAATGTGAACCTCTGAAAGAGGTTAGTGGCGAAGAGGAACACTTCCGTCTTGGCCAGCCCTTCACCCAGACAACTCCGACGACCTGGGTAAGCGAAGGAAGTAAATGAAAATCTGGAAAGGTGTATGATCGACCAGGAGCGTCTAATGCTACAGAGCGCCAGCAAGTGTTCACCTCTGACATCTACATTTTCACATCTTGCATAGAATGGATGAACCAACGTAATTCAATATCCGTTTTTCACGAAAAAGTAGCTGCTCGGGAAAAAAATAGTGCTCATGAAAATAAAAATAGCTGCTTTTGTAGCGGTGGCACTAACCGGCTTTCGTAGTTTTCCAATAACACAAACAGACTTGCATTTTTAAGCTCCATGTATAACCTGAACGCGTCCACTTGATTTAGTCCAGTAAAGTTACCCACAAAGCTCTTGCGAAATAATCCTCCAAAATGACCTCAGGGTGGCGCATTGTATAGTGATAGCAATGTTGATGCATATTACGTATTTACAGAACAGAAAAAAACTTTTCGAGAGAACTCAAAGAATTTAATGAATAAGTTTCTGCTCTGAACACACCTGTTGAAAATGGTACAAAGGCTTCGTGCTGGATCATTTTCTTGCCGTCTTTGCTCAAGAAACGTCGGGGGATGAACTCTTCTGGTCGATCCCAAACCTTGGGGTCGTTCATCATCGCCCACAGATTTATGATCACACCTGTTACAATTCAGTCATAAAAATCGGTAATTGGTAACTGTTAATGGTATTATATCAATGTTGCCTCTGGATGGAATTTCGTAGCTTGGAGACCACTATACGTGTATCTGATTATAACTCAAAAAACTTAGTCATAACCATTGCTGTTATACATGGAACGATGGGATCAAGGTAATAATCTCACCTATTCCCTTGGGAATAGTGTATCCTCTCAATTCAAACTCCTCTGTCGTCACATAAGGTAAAGTAAAGACCCCCGCGGGACGCATGCGTTGTACTTCATTGATGACCGCGTTGGTGTAGGGCATGCTGGGACGGTCTTCGCAAGACGGCTGACGGTCACTTCCCACCACTTCATATATCTCTTGCTGGATCTGCATGCCACAGTTATTAATCAGAAAACGAGGTAAGTATATGATTAGTTGATGCTGTTAGCCTGATAGCATTGGCCTCTTATCTTTCCCACATTATAACTTGTAACCCCAGTTCTAATCTCTCTGAGTGGATGTTCTTTGAAAATAAATTGACGGTGTGAAATTAATACAGTGTGGAATGAAGTCATTACATTTTGATCTAAACTCATCACTGAAAACTTGATAATCCGCCGCAAACTGATTCTCAAAAGCATTTGCCAATTTGGAGGATTAGATTAACGTTATTCTGTCAAAATGTTATGATGTAATGTTCAACACGTTTTAAAGTTTGGATTGTTCGAACTCTGCAGTCCAACATTGTGCCACTATTGTGTAAAAGCCAGGACCATAAACGGTGATTTCACATAACGTGAGTTTAAAAACAATTTTATCACAATTTTAATGCCAACTCCAACATTACATTTTGTTTTTGATTTTTTCTACCTTTTCTTGCACTTCAGGGTACTTGAGCACGAAGGATATCAGCCAGAGCAAGGTACTTGAAGTCGTATCTGTGCCAGCGCCAAACAAGTCCAGGATACCAAGCCAGATCTCTTCGGTCAGGCCGGGACCCGTGCCCACCCCAGATCCTTGCTGTTCCTTTTCTTTGATGTCGGCGATGCGCATGTCAATGATGTCCCGGAGGTCATTCTCGTCATAGGAGCTTTGGTGATCCTGGATCAATTTGATGAGATATTTTGTCATGAAATTTGTTTTTTACACTTCAGTTTCTAATTGGATGTAAGGAAAATCTTAACACCAGACGCAAGGAAATCTAATGGCAGATTTAAGGGACTATACAATTTAGATTCCCTTTCCCTCAAGAGCAGTAAAAAGCTCTAAAATTAGGCTCTATCATTGTTTATGGAGGACTAAAAGTAGCCATCTGCTTTTCTGCCTTACAAGTACCGTGAACGGGGCCGTGAACCTCAGGTTGTGACTGTTTCCTTTCGAAGGAATTGAAGACTTATGCCAATAGCTACGGTCCACCTATCTTTTGTATTGAAAGATTCCAATGTTTCCCAAGCAAGCCTGCGTATCTAGTTGGATGATAGCTGTAAACCTGAATTATCTTTAAGCTACAGGGACACTTATTCTGCCGTATGGGATTGTTCCCCAGAAAGCATGGTTAAGTATTGGTTTCTATGTCTTCACTCCCCCAGAACGGAAATGGTCGTAACCTACAGGGTCATGACCCCATTGAGGACAGAAAAGCAGATGGCCGCTTTTCGTCCTCCATAATTGTTGCCTCCCCCCCTAAAAAAAATACTGTCTTTGAGTTGTACATCCAGTAAAAAGCTCTTAGGCCTACCTGAATTATTTGGATAACAGTATCTCTGAGAAAGTTGAAACATTCTCTCTTCCTCGCAAAAAGAGGCGTGTGGTAGAGAAAGGGAAACGTGTTTCCCAATATCTCAATTCCCATCTTGGAAAAAACTTCCAGACTTTCCAGTAACTTCTTCAGTTTTGGGTCGTCGTAATCAAAGCGGGACCCAAAACTTATGGAGCAGATGATGTTGGACACGGCGTTGTGGATGGGGAGGTTCAGATCAAAGGGTCGATTCTTTTCAGCCTCGATACGTTCGACTAGGTATCGAGCCTCTTCGTTGATTCTGTACTCCAGACTTTTCTTGCCGACCCCCAACTTTCGAAAGGCGCTGAGGCCGAAACGCCTAAGCTCCTTGGCAGGCTCGCCTGCTCCAAAAAGAAAGCTCCCTGTTTTGAAACAAATATCAGGTACCTGTAATTGGTCAATTTCAAACCCCTTTGAATTAGTCAGTGAATTAGGCCGTCGACTTGTGATAACAGTTTACAAGTTTTTGCCTCATTGTTCAGTGGCACAGTACCTGCTGAGCACAGTTTCCTCTTCAATAGACCTCATGTCAAGTCGGTGTGTTGTTAACGAACACTAAACCCGATAGACAGAAACTGTATCAGTGGGCTGCCTACATGATACGTGGACTCCCAAGGTCGATACATTTGTGCTCTTTTGCCCATATTTAGAAGTTGGGCAACTTTTTCTTGATCTTCTCGTGAAATTGAGGCTCAGGAAAACAAACCTTCCCCTTTTAACTCCCTTCATACTCTCCAGATTAAAATGGGGCCCAAAACCTCACTACTGCTTGGAAGCAAGACTAGGCCAAGCCTTGTCTTCATTCAATCCCTACCTCGTATGTCTATGGCTGCTTCCATTAATGGAATCGTGGCCCTGTCAATGTGGCGCTCCCATTGTCTCGACAGCAACTCCTTGGCAATGCCAATGTCGCTGACAACAACGGATGGACCCCGTGCCGGGGTCAGGTGAACCGACATGACGCCGCCGTATTTCCGGGCCCACTCCGCCAGCACCTCGTGGAGATGTTTCCCTGATCTAACCAGTGCCGGGAAGTTGCCGAGGACAGGCCATTGCCTGGGCCCCGGGGGAAGGTTCTTCGGACGTCGGAATAGCTTCAAGACCACGAGGAAGATCAACAGGAAGATAGCTGCAGATTGGAGATTGAGCACGCTCTGGGCGAAGGAGAGGAAATTAGGGGCAGAATTTTGACCAGCCATGTTTAACTTCAGCAGTGCGAGTCTGTACCGGTATTACGATCTCGCACAACCACACGGCCGCTTATCTATACCATCCACACACGTCAGATGATATTGAGCTAGCTTAAAGTTTCTCTTTATATCATAAAATTCAACAACAGACTGTGTATGCATATATTTTGTATTACATGAGTTGCCGAAAGAGGTGAAAGGTTTCGCGTGCAGAGTGTGTCTTTTGGGTGAAGCCTTTTCCTCACCTGTGTTCGTTCTTGTAAGCATGTGCAACTTCGTCGTGCATTAAAGTGCAATTTACCTATACTGAAAACTGTGGATCTCCTCGCCTCGAGACCACATTAATTTTAAGGAACATTTCCTGTGAATTCTACAAGTAACAGTGCCGTACAGTGTGTTATTATTGTGAAATACATTAAAGGAACATAGGAGGAGCATGAAAGGGGAGGAAAGAAATTACGTTCATGAAATTGGAAAACGTTACTTTTGTTTCTAGCCACAGTGATGAGGGCCCTCGTTATAGCCTTTTTAGCCCACTAGATGGCGCTGTGACATTCTTTTATTGTAAGTGTTGCAAGGTTAAATGTCACCGTTGTCCACCGAGAGCAGAAGCTCCCGCTAATCGGTTAAAACGAGGCATGTTGGTCGGGAGAGTTCATTTTGTTGGTAGCAATGCGACCGTAAGGCATGCATTTCCTTGTCGTTCGTGAACCAGCGAAGGTCAGTTCCGACCGAAGGAGCCCCCGTTACCGAAAATCTTGCGCCTTTTTTGGTCCAGCTCGTAACATTCTGGACATAGTTTTGATCGCGCCCGTGTCTTCTGGAATTAATATGGGCAGACACTGATGTGTACTAAGTACATGTATATGTGCACTAGACTTTCACGATTTGATGCCCCCCCCCCCGTTATTTCACCCAATTAGTGTATATGCTATGTGTCGAAAGAAACTTGCGTTTACCATGCGACTGTAGTCCTGCAAATGTCTGACAAGTTTCCATGGTGTTTGGTCCTTTTTTCAGCACGTAACTTTTTAGGATTCTGCCAAATTATGAACTAATGCCAGAATCGCTTAATTCAGCCTGAGTACAGTGAAAGTCGTAATAAGAAATTCCCATGACATGCTGAAAAATTCACATCCTTTTCCAGGCGTGTCTTAAAATGTGCTCACTTCTGCTTTTTTATTAACTTAATAGCAAAACGTTCCTCACTCATAATGGAAGCAAGGCTAAAAAGACGTGCAGTAAACAAACGGAAATAAACATGCTTTATCTATATCATGTATACGAAATATACTATTATTGCAAGCTGACTCAAAGTTCAACAGCAACTCTACAAAGTTCGCGGCGAGAGATTGTGTACACACAAAAAGAAAGATTTTCATCAGTTGCCGAAATAGGTGAAAGGTTTCGCGTGCAGAGTGGGTCTTTTGGATGAAGCCTTTTCCTCACCTGTGTCTGTTCTTGTAAGCATGTGCAACTTCGTCATCGTGCATTCCCTGCATAAAGTGCAATTTACTTATACCAAAAACCTTGGGTCTCGCCGCAAAGAAACCACAGGGAAGCGTAGTAAGCTTGTACCCAACTACTTTTCTGTCCTTCAGTAACAAGACACATGGAATAGCCTTAGGTTTATATCCCACTCTGCTACCAAAAGCCAAAAAGCTTCGAAGAGGCTCAACAGCCTTTGCAGGGTCATTTATGGGTCACAAACGGGGCCTTTAGTCTTGGGCCAAGACGACAAGACTCGATAGCATACTCGATCGAGCTAAAAGCCGCACGCGCCGATTTCTATTGCGCCCTCTCGTGACTTCATTTCACCAATCGACAGCTTGTTCTATCGTCTAGGGAATCTCCTACAAACCGTTTAATTTTTTCTTTTACTATTCCTCCGGAACTTTTAAAATTCGTTCAATGGCTGTTTATGGGGGAAAAATGCTAAAGGTCATTCATTAGCAAATGTGCACAAACTGCCCCAGACTACCCATATGCACTTACTATACTAATGCAAACAGAGTGTGCAATCAGCATCTGAAAATCACACTTTTCTAAATTAACAACCTCAAGTAGCTAATCCTACTGAGGGAGGGTTACCCCTTTGGCCAAACACTGCCAACAACAGAGGTTACGTGCACGAAAAACCATAGAACTTCGGCCATGCTTTGACATGAAAGCTCACCGTAGAAATTTCTCCAGTTGACAGGCTCGCCAGTAGCCCGAGTTGAAAGCCTGAACCCAAAATAGGCACTTCCAAAACATGAGTGGAACAAATCACCATGGAGAGTGCTTCGAGAGCTTTCGGTCACCTGTGCATATCCATGGCTTAGTGTGCGCGGCTGTTCTTGACCATCAATGCTTGAG